CAGGTTCTCGGGCGTGTACAGTGGGGCTTTTCAGAGACTGGGTGACATGCGACGATGCTCTGCTGACACAATCTGTGCTTGTGGGTTGTGCTTTTTAAGAATTTCCGAGGTGGTTGGTGGAGTATAAAACGTGTTTCCGAGGTTGGCTCAATGCATTCTCTGTGCTCCCCTTGGCTCTCCGGTCCCACGTGTTGTGATCTCCGCAGGCCCCACACCCAGGGAGCCCGCAGTGATAACGGGAATTTCATCGAAAAACTGGGTTGCAAACCTGAAGCCTGAGATAACAGCTCATCTTCAAAACTGTGCTTACCTCACAAGTGGCTGGACCTCTTGGTATGTTACCTGCTATCAGCACCAGTTAGTTTCTGAGGAGTATCACCTTTCTACGCAGGCCGACAAACAGGTGCGCGGACAGTCCAGCCCTGAGAACCTTTCTGAACCGCAGGCTACACAGGAATAATTGTGGGAACATTTCCCCCACCTGCCCCTGTAGTTTTAAGCAGTCGTAGGTATGAACCCTGATGTTGAAGGGACATTATAATATTGCTAAAGAGAAGAAACACGAGTCCGGAGCTCCAGGTGTACTATCCTCAGTGGCTCCTGCTGCTTGCAGGTAAAATCTGCGTGGCCAGCAGGGTGGGCGCCGTGGCTCCTGCTGCCCCGCCAGCCTCGCCTCCGGCTCCTCCTCCTGTCCTTCCACCAAACACAGAAGTCGGCAGCTGGTTCCCTTCACCCATGTGCGTAGAAAATCATTCCTCATTCATTAAACTGAGCCCTCGCCGCCCCTCCCCAGACCGGGCACCACACATGGAGAACTCGCCGGAGCACGGTCACCCTGCGAGGCCGTCCGGTTCCAGCTCAGGGTGTGTGACCTTCGCTCTTCCTCCAGCACAGGGTGGGCTTTACCGACCTCACTACTTGCCTTGGGAAGCTGCAGATACAAGAAACATTGACCATTAAGCCACTGATCACATTCAAATGTAAACCACCGGACGCTTTTCATGGGCACACTCACCCCATCCTGGCCCAGACCCCGTCCAGGGGCTGGCGGGCTGCAGCTGTTGGCCTGACGGTTCAGCCTGCCTCCAGCAGGTCTGGTGGTCTCGGTCCTCCTGCTTTCCTGCGGATTCGAGCTCACGCCACACCTCGCAAGGGCTTTGTTACAGGGCAGTGAGGAGCTAGGGAAATTCCAGGGCACATGGAAGAGGGAAACTGAGACAGGAAAGTTAAAACCAGGCCACACAGTGAGGCAATGAGGAGCCAGCCTACAAATAACAAGCCATTATCTTCCCAGCCAAGGGCACTTGAGAGCAAAGGGTTAAACCCCCCCCAAGGAGAGGGTACGGGAAAGGAGGGGAAGAGGGAAGGAAACCAGGGCGGTTTCACTCCCTAAGCAGAGAAGCCAGCAGTCTGGGGCTGGGAAAGATGCAACTGCCAGGCGCTTCTCGTGAGTTCTGGGAAGGCCAAAGTAAAAAGGGACCTTGAGAATTAATCTGAACCAAACTACTCAGCAGAGGAGTTGAGGCCTGTAGACAGGAGGGTCTGTAACGCCCGGGACCCCACCCACCTCACTCTGTCTGCGCTTCCTAAGCCAGGTGTGTAGATGGGCTTGCTTTGCTTTTTTAGTAAAGGTGCTTGTCCTAACTGCTTTACTAAAATGGCTTTTCACAAGGCAACCAGGGTCTCTCGTATGAATACACTTACATGGGAAGACAAAGATAGAGGCGGGACAGCCCTCTCCCTCCAGTAACGCCTCTGGGGTGGGTGAGGTGCCCCTAACAGCTTACCTGGCTCTGCTGCAGCATCACTCCCTGGGGAAGGTGTTCTACCTCCAGCTCCTGGGCTCGGATTCAATACCCTGACTTGCCTCCTTCCCCCTCATCAAGCATCAGACCCTCCCCACCCCACCCCAGGGAGGACTTCAGTGCAGTTCCGTTAGCCTGAAGCATCACTATCGAGGTTTAATTTCATCACCTGCTCCTGCTCCCCAAGACATTACCTGGGCCTAGCCCCTCAGCATCCACTTGACTTCAAAGGCAGGCCCCCAAATCCTGACAGGAGCCTGGTGCCTGCAACACACCTGCTACACCAGCCCTCGGCCCGGGTCCCTGGCTCCTGTCCCACCGCACCCTTTCTGGTGTAGGGGTGCTTCGGGTCCTCAGCTTAGTTCAGGACAGAGGGTAACACACTCTGCCAAAAGCTTCACACCAGGTGCTCCCGTGGTACTTCCCATCCTCACGCTCGCTCCACAGACAGGTAAGATCTGGAGGCTGCGTACCTGGATTGGGGTCTCAGCTGGCAGGGGTGAGCCAGGCTTCAATCCGCCTCCCTGCATGTCAACACATTAGAATCAGCAGCAGCCCCGAGGGCTCAGGTACCAAGGGCGGGGTGCACAGGCCACGGTGCATCTGTCCTTCCAGCAGACCTAAGGACTTCACACGATACACCCGCTCCCGACACCAGACTAGGTTTCTACAAAACAAGTGTTACACAGGCGTGAGAGCAGCATCCACGGGACGAATTACACATCAAGAAGGGATGACCTGCACATCTCCCAGGCAAACGAGAAAAACTCACAGCCACCAAACCTTTAGCCGGTAATTCTGGATCATACATCCCTAGCCCCTCACTACAAGCAAGCATTCCAGGCCCATGTGTCCGTCGTGCCCAATTATATTAAAACACTCTCAGCTCCTCAAGCAGCCCTGTCGCCTCCGAGCTCCGGCACGCAGCCCTGCTGGGCAAGGAAGCCACAGTTCAGAGAAGCAGTCCCACAGCGCGGGGGCTCCGGGGGCTCTGCTGTTGCCTGAAGGCCCTGCCCACCCCTCCCCAGCAGCCACGTAACCATCCTACAGCTGCCCCCAAAACATACCTGTTCCAAAGAAAACTAAGTCCACCATGTGAGCCAAAATACAGATCTCACTTTAAAGAAAAGTCTTCACAAGTGTGGGCCTTTCCTAATCCAGGAATCTAAACTCTAACAAACGCACATTTTAATAAAACTCTTTATAAAGCTTTTGAGTAGGAGACGAGCATGGAGCAGAATCTGATCGTGAGGTTAAACTTAAGTACATGGGGGGGCAGACACAAGTGACTCAGGACACATCCCTCAGTGGGTTTAAACTGTTTAAATGACCATGTTCCAAGTCTAACAGTACATACATACGCCATCAAAAGGCACACAATGTATTTGTTAAGCTCCAGGCCCTTCAACACACAGAATAAATATAAAGCTGATGTCATCAAATCCATGTGATTTTTAAGTTAACACATACTTATCTCAACTTTAATAGAAAGGTATTTATGAAAATATTCTAATCTGTAAACTTTTAATATAAAGCAAATAAAATACAACAAAGAAAAAAATGCAGGGGGGGAGTGGTAGTGAGAGGGAAGGACTGCGGAGGGGGGGACACCAAGCACCTTTCTGGGGTGAGACACATTCACTACCTTGAGTGCAGTGACCTTTCACAACGCTCATCAAATCATATGCTTGAAATGTGTATTTTGTGTCAATTCATACCTCAATAGAGTGGTTTGTATTAAAAAAACACAAAACTAACTTGCCACAAAAAAACTTCATTTAAAGTAGCAATCACCATGGCTCAGCAGTTGAGTGTTGAGCATCGACCTAGGATCCAAATCACAGTTTGATTGCCAGGCACATGCCAGGGTTGCAGGCTCAATCTCATCATTGATGTTTCTCTCTCCCCACTCTTTGAAATCAATAAAGTTTTGTTTTTTAAGTAGCGATTACTTCCCCCCACATCTCCATGGCCTGTTTCTGAGTCTGTTTCCACGCTAGATGTGCAATTCAACCAGTTCCTGTGCTTGTGGGCTTCGTCTCCAACATGTGCCCTTTACAGCTGCCCACTACGCAGAAGGCAGGTCAGTCATGGTGAAGCTTTAGCGGATCCATCAGCACACCTGCCCCGCTCGCCCCCAGGAGCTGCCCTTGCTGCCGTCCTCCAACACGGAGGGTCACCAACCACTGCACTCACCATGCGGTGAACTCCAACCACGTCCCACAGCACCAGGCACAGCACACACCACTGGCCAGCTGAGAAGCGGGGAGGAAGGCAAGCAATTATCTGAATAAAAGGCAGAGGGCGCCATAAGTAAAATAAAAAATCGCAAATCTTTTCTGAAAGCTATTTAGAAAACACAATAGGTAGATTTTAAACATAAGCCGCATCTCTCGGGTCCCTTCTGTGTTAGCAAATAGTCTGCATCTGGTAGGTTTCACCGATCTATTAGCCCAATCGTGTGTTCGAGTCACAGGCACGTGGTGCTCACCGATGCTGGCAAAGCCCCGGAGCCTGGCCAGCGCTACATTTAAGTTAGGTGATGGGACTGGCTGGTGGCACGTTACATAATACAGGCCTATTTCTAAATGAAAGCTTTAAGGTGTATCTCATACTTTCTTACCACTCTAACTCATAAATTCTGCAGGATGAAACTGTCATTTTTGTTTTAATTTCCCCACCACCGCCGCTCAGTGTGAACAAATAAATCTGGCTTCTGGTAAAAACTAGGGAGTCTAGGCAGGATACTGAGGTGAAAACAGCAAAAGCACAAAAGTCTTCTGAGAACACAATTTAAAAAAAAAAAACTCTGAGGATTAGCTCAATCTGACGAAACCTTGAGCATCTTCGCTGTAAGACTATGCTCTTTACAACTAAAATATATATAAACACGGGTGGGAAGAAAGGCAAATGCTAATGTGGGTCAACAAAACAGAAGAACCAAAATACAAAGGTACTCTTCCAGCCAGCAGCCAGAAACGATTCCAAAATTAACATGGAAATGAGAATAAAGTGGTTGTGTAACACTTATCCCATAACTGTGTTAGCTGTTGGTGGTGAAAGGCTCCTTTCCGGCCCTCTTTCCTCACCTCAGAAAGGGATCCCCACCAGCTTTAGCCAAGCGTAACTGTCTGGTAACTGAATAAAGCCGTGTGTGTGGAGACCGACACCGTGAACACTACGGAGAGCGACACGTTCTGAAAATCCAGTTTATTTCCATGTGTGGACAGAGCCAGTCAGTGTGATCAGTTTTCTGCACGTGTAATAATTTATCAAAATAGGTTTTCCCACAACAACTCTTTTCCATCAACTCTGAAAATCCTGGTCTGACAACATACCCAAATAAAGCTCTTGAAAATCACCTCGTAAAATTTGGAAGAAAGTGTGGCGAGTCTTTCCTGTAATAGTTACGGAACTACAAATGGCTAGAGAGCAAGTATGTTTTCAAAGGTGACTAGTACAACAGTTGAGCTCAGGAATTAATGTTTTAGTGCACTTTGCTCCAGTTTTAGCCGACATGCTACATTGTCCTTTGGGGGGCGGGGCGCAGAGTGGACGTGAGGGTTTCCACTGTACGAGAGAGAGGACTCTGCAAGCAAACAGTGTAAGCTGCCTTTTTCTTAAGACCTGGACATTTTAAGACAGAAGCTTTGCAAAACATTACACAATTTTTTATTATTAAATGAGAACATCTCATCTGTTACATCGTCACATTGCTAGTCAGAAATGCTGCAGTGATGGAGAGTCAATGCTGGGTCCACCAAAGTCCTCATTTCCACAACATCCATGACAAAGAAAATGTTCCACACAGCCCAACACAACATTCTTGGTTTTCTTCATATTGAAGTCCCCCCAAAAATCTTCTAATGGGGCCTTTTCCTACATAAATTACAGTTCTTCACCTGTACAGTCCACCCTGAACTGCGTGGGAGACGGGTCCCTAAGCCTCTGGCGCTGTCAGGACGTCACACGTCGTCATCGTCCGACGTGTCACTGCTGCTGGTCTCCGTGTCTTCGTTCTCGATCGTGGGTTGGAAAGTGCTGTTTTTCCAGGGTCCGAACTTGAAGTCACAGATCAGGCCGTTTTTCAAAACACCATTTTTCCTCAGACCATTCTTCTGCAGCTAAAAGGTCAAAAATAAGCAGTTAAATACTGGAATAAATTAGTTTCTATTTCTGAAAATGAGAAATTAGAACTAACAGGTTAATATGGTAGTAAGAATTGGGTCCAAAGGTCACCTGTGGAGGCAAGGGGTTGACCCAAATTAGAAACTACTTGAAGACATAAAGTTAAATTAATAATAATAATGTACATTCTACTAATTCCAGCCTTTCAAATTTCTTTCATAAAACTTTTGACGTTCTGGTAATTTTCGTCAAACTCTCTAAACATTCTTTTACAAGACCAAATCCAGCTATATAAGAAGTTACTATCGGAAGTGCTGATCGGGGCCGTGCTCTAGAGGGTTTTGATGGTGACCAGGGTGAGAATCAAACCCAAGGAGCTGCTTCCATCACGGCAAATTCTGTTTCTCACAGACCTTGTGCACTAAAAATAAATTCTCTATTTTCTCCCATAGCAGATTTTCTTTCCTACCTAAATTACAAAATTTAAGCTACCTGCTTTCATTTTGAAAAAAACCTCACCGTCTTTATTGAAAAAAACAAAAGCCATGTAGCCACCTCTGGTGTCCTCCCTCAACCACTGTGATGCTTAAAAACACACCTTTGTCGCTCTTTTAAAGGTACATCTTTCCCATCCCCCAAAGTTCCCGACCTGTTTCACATGACCCACAGCCCAGCGCGACCTAATCTTTCCAAAGCTCGACATTTTGATAAAAATTCTGTGGAGGCAAGGGGTTGACCCAAATTAGAAACTACTTGAAGATATAAAGTTAAATTATAAAGATATAAAGTCTAAATTTTTATCTCTGATTTTTCTAGATGCCTGTATTATCCCCAAGAACTGGCCATGATTTCTTGAATGACATCAACCGCACAGGCAACAGGAGAAAAATACACAAACTGGACTACAACAAAATTTAAAACTTCTTTGCATCCAAGGACACAACAGTGAAAAGGCAACCTACGCAATGGAGAAAATATTTACAAATCACTTATCTGATAAGAGATTAATATCCAGAATAGACAGAGATGTAACTCAACAAAAAAACATTTAAAAATGAGCAAAGGACGTGAATAGACACTTCTCCAAAGACGACACACAAATGGCCAAAAGGCACATGAAAAGATGCTCAACATCACTAACCAATGGGGAGATGGACAATGAACAGAAAACAGCAGCGAGATACCATCTCATATCCGTCAGAACGTCCAAAAAGAGAAAACTCGAGCACCCACCACTGGTGGGAACGTGAACTGACACAGCTACTACAGAAAAACAGGATGGCGGTTCCTTGAAAAGTAAAAAACAGACGACCCTATGACCCAGCAACTCCACTTCCGGGGGTACCTCCAGAAGAACTGAAAACGGGCACTTGAGAGATCTGTAAACCCACGTTCACAGCAGCATAACTCACAGCAGCCAGGCGGTGGAATAGGCCCCAGTGCGTCTGCCACAATAAACTGGATACACAAAATGTGGTATATGCACACAGCAGATTCTATTCAGCCTTAAAAGGAAAATCCCGGCGCATGCTCCATGGTGAACCTCGAGGGCACTTATGTTAAGTGGAATGAGCCCGTCACAGGAGGACATATACCACATGGTGCTACTCACATGAGGTGCCTAGAGCACTGAGAAAGTAGAGCACTGGGCTCCCAGGGTAGGGGAGCTGGGAATGAAAAGCTACGCTTCCATGAGGCGAGTGAGCTGGACGGTGGTGACGGCTACACAACATGAATGTACTTCATGCCGAGCTACACATTTAAAATGGCTAAATGGAAAACTTCACGTTACGTGCCACAAAATTTTTAAATGCCGTGAAAAAAATCAATATATTAAATTCAACCTTAAAATTTTTAAACTAGAATGCATCTGTAGAGAAAATCACTTCTGCATGACCATAACTATTAAAAACCATAATAAATTTGGAAAATCACTTCAACTTTCTGACACTGTCAAACATTTCCTGGTACTCTTTCAAAACGAAACTATGGAGACATGAAACAAAGGCAATACTGACCATAATGTGGTGTCCAATATGTTCCTAAATAAAACTGTGTAAGCCCCCTCCCCATTCCCCAAAAATGCTTTGTTTTAATCCACTGTTTTGACTGAGAAGGGACAGCTTACAGTGAACCTGCTGTGTGATTCGGGTCACCCTACCTGCTCACTAATAAGCTGGAATTCTCTCATCTCATCCTCTGTTAAGGGAGCACAGGTTTCATCATTTTCACTGTCTTCTTGCCAGCCCATCTCCTTTAACAATCTGGAAAAAAGGGAGGAAATTAATAAATTGAGAGCTGCACCCAAGTAGGATCATTCCACTTATGGTCAGTGCAAGGAAACATTGACCATTACGCAAAGCCCCCGGAACACAGACAAGGATTTGTGTTTATGCCGTGGGTGTCTTTCTGCAAATGAACAAACAGGTAAGATTAAGCGCAATAAAACATCTTAGAGAGTAAGACGAGGGCAAACTGCTTCCTCGTTTTATTTCTGGGGTCAGAGGTTCTCCAGAGTGTAAACTTGCGGGCTAGAGACTTGCAATGCTACATTCGTGCACTGAAAGTAAAAGCCATGCCCCTTGGCTCTATTACTGTCACCACAACGTCCTACTCTACCTCACCATTAGGTTTCCTACTTTGAAAAGAAAGGGTTGGGCTATCTCACCCTACTTTGCCATTTTATAATTTATTTATCCAGACACGGCCTCCTGTGCATGACAGTTGTCGTGTGAGTGGGCACTACGCTCCGTAACAACAAAGAAGACTGTTTTCAAAGCTCCCAACCGGATCTAAGCAAAACGACTGCTGTGGCTGTTCTCTTTCCCTCCCAGTTTTTAAAGAGAACACACCTCCTTCTCAAGCACCAGAGGGAGGAGGGCCAGCAGTGGCCCAGCCATTCTCTCCAGCTGCCAGCAGGAACCCCCGTCAGAGCCGCTGCATCTGACTCGGTGACGTCACCATTCCTTCTTCCATGTGAACAAATTTTATACTGATCTGACTACACTTTTTTAACTAGTATACACTGCGCCAAACCCGGCTGTCTCTGGGCCACAATGTCACAGCCGTAACTAACTACTGCTCCTCTTTCCTTTCCATCACTTCACATTTCTCTCCAGCACACGGCACTGTCATCACTCTTGAACCCTGCCTCCCTGTGGCATGGTATTTCCATTCCCAATGCCATTCAGTTCAAAGTCTACAGGTTTAGAGTGGTAACTAATTGTTTCTGGAATAGCTGTCAAAACAGACACTCTTGTGTAGTCTCCCTTTCCCCACAGTTAGGGATATATCTCAGCAGGGTCATCTCTAATTCCACTAAGGACTTCACACTCGTCAAGCTAGTCCATCCACTGCCCCTAAAACGAGGTATACGGTCAACTCTAAACACCCCTTCTTCCAAGTGACTGCCCAGCACCTTACCACACCAGTGCCTCACCCTCTAAGCACAGCTTCACAGAGCAGGCAGAAGAAGACTAGAACCGTAGCACCACTCATTCATTTAACAAATTTAAGCCCACAGTAAATGCCAGGTGCCAGACACAGTACTGAACAAAATGGACAAGATGTCTGTCCTCGTGGAGCTTAGGTTCTTAATGAAAATAAAAGTGGAAGTAGGTATAGCCCAGTTGCCTGCTGTCCTAGAATTCAATCACGTTGGAGGCGAACCGGCACTAAACCAAACAGAAAGTCAGGTCAATCCTCTGCTTTCACGAGTATCAACCCCACAATGAACCTGGTCCCCGGGGATGTAAGAATTTTTAGTGGAAAAACAATTCAGTTTATACAAAGCAATTATAGTTATGTAAATAGACAATATAAGTGCATAAGCTTTTAATTGCTTTAGTAGTTATATTTCTTCAGTTTTTAAAAAGGAACTGAAACTAACAGATTTAAGAATTCTAATGTTGAAATAGTACACAGGTGTGTGTGGAGCAAAGCCTTTCAGAAATCAAAACTGTAGAAAACAAACAGAAATCTAAAGCAATCCTAGTAAGTGCAAAAGAGGAGGAAAGTTTGGTGCCATATTTCTCCCTCCGTGGTGGTATTTCTATACCACAATTTAAGCTTCAATAAAAGTTTGCTTAATTCAAAACAAACAAACAAGTAAAGCCAAAAGCCCTAAAATCCTTCCTGTAGTGATGCTGAACTATGTGGTTTATTTCAAGACCACAGGAAGGTAAACCATTTCTGCAAAATACCTGCTCTTAACTATAAAATCACAGGGGGAAAAACCACAGAAGTCTGCTCTACACTTGAACACACTTCAATTCTGAGACTAAGTCGCTTAAGAGTTCACTATTTAAAAGATGTTTAAGATGATAGTATAGAAGCAGAAAGTGCTCTTGAAAGTTTACAATAAAAAATAAATTGCATCCTGGGACAACTGGGTGGATATCCACTGGAAAAGGGTGACTCTGGAACCTATCTCACCACACAGACGAAGCATCACACAGCAACAAGAATTATAAAATGACTTTGTGAAAATTAAGTTTTGTACTTCAAAAGGCACCATTTAGAAAGTGAAAAGACAACTCACAGAATAGGGGGAAAATCTGCAAATTATATATATAAGATATATCCAAAATACATAAAGAACTCTTAGAGTCCAGTAAGACAAATAATGTGATTTTATTATTATTTTTCAAATATATCTTTATTGATTTCAGAGAGAGAAAGGGGGAGGGAGGGAGAGAGAAACATCAATGATGAGAGAGTCGTTGAAAAGCTGCCTCCTGCACGCCCCTGACCAGGAACCGAACCATGATCTCCTGGATCCTAGGTCCACGTTCAACCACTGAGCCACACCCAGCCGAGCCAAATAATGTAATTTTAAAAAGGACAAAGAATTTCAACAGACATTTCTCCAAAGAAGATATACAAATGGCTAATAAGTACACATGAAAAGATGCTCAACACTGTTGGCTATTATGCAAGGGCATATTAAAAACCACAAAAGAAACCATATCTATTAGGATGGCCACGCTGAAAGACACAGATGGTCACCAGTGTTTGCGAGAACCTGCAGAAACTGGTATCTTCCCACAGTGCCAATAAGAAAGTGAAGTATGCACACAAACGCGTAGAGTTTGGCAGTTTCTCAAAATGTAAGCCCGAGTCTCAGCAATTCCACTCCTAGGTATCTACCGAAAAATGTGCCGACACACAACATGCACACGAATGTTCACAGCAGCATTACCCACAGCATTCAAAAGTACCAACAGCCCAATACCCATGCGTTGGTGAACAGCAGAGCCACACATGTACAACAGGCAACAAAAAGGAACAAAGCAGTGAGTTTGCTGCGATGCCGACAGGCCTAGAAAATCCTGTGCGAAGAGAAAGCAGCCAGATGTAAAGGAAAAAATTCCACGACTCCACTTCCATGGAACACCAGGAAAAGCAGATCTACAGAGGGGGAGGTTGGGCTGCCTACAACACGGAGGAAAAATGAGGGCTGACTGCCAATGAGCAGGGGGTTTTCTTTGGGGTGCAATGGAACTGATCTGGAACTAGATTGTGATGACAGCTGCACAACTCTGAATATACTAAAAAAAAAAAATCTGCGAACTGTACTTTTAAAATGTATGAAATTTATGGCCTATAAATTTTGTCAATAAAACTGTTAAAAAATAAATCACAGCCACAGCCATTTCTATCATATCAAAATCCTGGATACAAAAAATACAGGTAAGTAAGAACAAATACTAACCTGTGTTCTGCCTCAAGTGAACTTGAAAGAACGTCCGTTTGTGGGAAGGTTGAAGACCGAATGATCTGCTGGGAGATAACCGAGGCATTGCCGTTCTCTTGAGGAATTTCGTTTTCATCAAAGTTTCGGTTTATATCTCTGTCCTGGTGAGCACTATTGCTGTTATGCAAATTAAAGGAGTCGTCATCCTGGGTGTTGGGCAGTTAACAAAGAATGAGAGAAAACAGCAGTTACACACGCAGCAGATCCTGGTCAACTTCCACTGACAATATGTAACTGTGGTAATCATTAAATCTAGAGGCCATTCTCCCAAGATAAAATCTAAGCTTCGATGGACACACACAGCTTCCTAACTCTAGTCTTCACATCTACTCAACAAAGGCAAAACCCCCAAGGATGAAGGCGGGCAACTCAGAGAAAACAAGAACCATACAAACAGGATTTTTTCACGGGAACCACAGGATGAGGAAATGTCCTTGAGAGAGGAAGCCACTGAAGCTTATGCAAAGGTCCCAAGTGGTGTCTGCCCAGATCCTTCAATAACATGTCCCTCAAACCGAGTCACCTTCTCAGAGCCAGCTTGGCTTCCGTCCTCGTGCTCCTCCTCCACCCGGTCCCTCTTCAGGGCCTTCAGGAACTCGCTCTTCTTATCCGTGCGCATTCGCGTCAGCTTGGTTAGTCGGGGCTGCTGACTAAGTTTGTCAACAGGTGAAGAGGAATTCGAGCGGTTACACTAAGAAAAAAATTCAGAAATATTGATAAATATGTACACAGAGAACTAACATCAATAGAAAGCTCATAACCACAACTTCCTTTCACCTTTATTCACAAAACAAACCTGGTTTTAAGGTCTATTTCAAAGACTACTTTCCTCTATCCCTTTACGTCTTACCTACCCCACTGGATGAATACACAAAAGAATTTTCTTACCCCAGAAACAATTACGGTCTGATAACACAAAGAACTAAGACTCTAAATTAGGAGTTTACTATTTTATAAAATAAATCCAGAAATTGGATTTATTTAAGCATTTCTAAATACATAGAAAAGCAGTGTTCTATTACCCTGTGCTCCACAGAGTTCTAAGGCTGGAGATCTAATAACAGCTTCAATGAGATCTATTTATATTTATTTACATGCAGGTACATGTAGAGTTTATCAGGCAGGGTTTCACCAGGGAAAATGTTTGTGGAGGGGCAGGAGGGACAGGAAAAAGGATCATGTCCCGACACTTTTGTTTTCAGTGTTTTAATTTGACAGTGGGATACAGCAGGAAACAGAATGTGAGAACTCTGCATCAGAACTTTTTAACCATGGAAATAATGCTTAACTGTTGGAAATATGTCTGTAAGACTGTAATGAATCTAAGCCATAATTAACCAGCTAAGAATGCTGGTCCTCCCACCAGAGCTCTCAAGTTCTATGACTGAAAACTGGTATATGGGGACTCTGGTGTTCCCATACAGTGCCCAGAGCAATTTCAAGTATAATTACACAATCACAAGTGTCTTTTGACCCTGAACCAGTCAGAAAACCCCTGGTATCACAGGTCAGAAACCTGGTCAAATGACAGAGAAATGCTTGACTTACCAGGCATCTCAAGTAGGTACAATAATACACATATTTCCCTCTTCTTCCTCTCCATGTCCTCCCCTAAGTTATTAACACTAATAAAATTTCCATCAGCCCCTAAAGAAGATGGTATCATACAAATCCTCAATTTTAGCAAGGTTCAATCATATGCACAGCATAACTCTAATCACAAATGTCAAAACTGTGGTTTTGCTAATTCTTTCCTTAAAAATTATTCTTCCTGACCCAGCCAGCATGTCTCAGTGGTTGAGCATCGACCTAGGATCCAGGAGGTCGTGGTTCAATTCCTGGTCAGGGAACATGCCCGAGTTGCAGGCTCAAACCCCAGTCGGGGGTGTGCAGGAGGCAGCCGATCAATGACTCCCTCATCATTGATGTTTCCATCTCTCTCTCTCTCCCTCTCTCTTCCTCTCTCTGAAATCAATATAGATGTATTTAAAAAATAAAAATTAAAATAAATTATTCCTTCTGGTCAGTGGGTATATGGTATTATCTTCTATACATTTTGAGATATTTGGAAATTTTCATTAAAATTTTTAAACCTTATTCCTACTTAATGTTCAAAAGTGTCAGCAAATAGAGGGGAAATATCTAAATAAAGTTTTGTAAAACAACTACAATGCCCCACACTTTAATGTCATTTAATGAATCTGTCTTCTGCTATTAACAAAACCGTCATGACTACAACACGCTACATCCCTCAGGAATAGTTTTAAATGCCACACCTCTTTCACTGATGGTGTTGACGGACTGAAATTCTTGGTCGTTGATTTGAAAGTATTGAAGTTGCCAACACCGTATGCAGACTCATGAGAGAAAGAAGTCCCAACTTTATTTTCTTTAGTTTGGCTTTTCCATTGTGTAGGCTGAAGAAAAACACACAAACATTACTATGTATCAAAAACACAGACCACACTGAAGAGAGAAAAACAAAGGGGACAGTAGAGAACAAAGGTGCCTGCATGCAGCTCCTGAAAGCAATTCCTTTTGCGTCACATCTAACTGTCCCCAGGACGCTCTTGCATCTTTTTCTACAAACAAAGTCAGAGCGTGGTCTTCAGAAAAATAATTCTGACTGAATTATTTTTTCAAAATTTTATAAACTTAAAGTTAGATTTCTTTTACCTGATGTCAAGAAAACACTAGTGGGGGTTTCAAAAACCTAAACCAGTACACTGAGGAAACAGCACTATATATTATATATTACTATTACTAAGCAAATATATCATAGATGTACCTAGAAAAACAGAAGTTTTACAGGTTTCACTTACTACTACTGAAACAAGAAAGCACACAGTGGACAAGCACACACGACATTAAAAGGGTAATTAAAATTAATGACACACAACAAGGCAGTCTTTCCACTCAGAAGTCTGCACCCCATAAAATAACCCAACAATTTGCTGTAAATTTTTTTAACACTCTTTTCCCAAAATAACTCCATTGACATCCACTTAAAACTTGAATTTTAATTCAGAACTTACTTTTGTGGGTGGAGCAGCAGGCTTAGGGACTAACCCTTTATAAACACTGGGACCAGTCCCGTTCTTAACTGGCTGTGACTGGAGAGCTCCTCCTCCTGGGAACCCAGAGAGCTGCGGGTCTTTCGCGTTCCCTTTCTTAATGACCAGCATCCGTGGAGCTCTAGGGTTAGGGTTCGGAGGGTACTCTGCATAAATAGAGCGCGAGCAAGAGTTACACACAGTTTAACATAATATCAACCACCAGAAGAACAGTACACTCTACATCTTGACTGCACTTAAAAAATAACAGCTGCTCCCTGGGTAAAATAATTAAGCTAATTAAGTATGAGCTACACTCCTGCTTAAGAAATACAGCTAAAACATACCTACCCAAACAGAACATAGGAAGAACTGAGCAACATCAAATAAAACAGATGAATTCAGCTAGACAGTGGCCCAGAGACGTTAACTCTGACCAAACCAAGATTAATCAGACTCTAACATAATCGTTAAATTTTTTTTAATTTCAATTTTCATCCTACGTACTCTTAACGCATTGTATACGGGAAACGTATTTATACGTTTTACGTTGACTGGCAGTAGAGCGCGCAATAAAAACTACCCGCAAACAATGTGTTAAGCCTTGGAATATAAAGTATATTTTTCTCTTCTCCATTTTGAAAAGAGAATTTTCCTAATTCCTTTTCATTCTTTTTACTCTCGCTTATAAAGTTATTACCAATAAGCAAGGAACTACAGCCCCTCTATTTCTACTTCAGTTGACTAATGAAAGAAAGAGTTCTACTTTGATAATACCAATCAATTCATTCAAATATTTATTAATCATCTAACCTCACTGAAGGCATTTGTGAGTAGCAGGGTAACCAACTCAACCCTAGCTTCTGAAGGTAGTACTAGGAGTAACAGTTGCTAACTAAAAGCTTTTCTCAAGACCACAGCAGTTGTTTAAACAGGAAAAACTCCTAGATTTTAATCGGTGCGTGTAATCAAAAAAGTGTTGCATGCAAGCATGTTAGGCTTATGGCAATGAAAAATTCTGAAAGCATCGGTTTCCTAAAGAGTTCAGAACATCCCAGGAAATCTAAAGCTAGCTTTGCATATTAAACAAGACAGGACCCTGTGACACAGTAAGTTGCATAAAAGTGCTGTCAGGATGCTCTGCCTCAAACCAACCAAACCCAGCTTCCTACTGGGTCATCTGAGAAACTGCACTAAACAAGGACTCCTGGGGACACGGAAAGACTCGAAGTGCACCTGAGGCCTCAGATGCTGTCAAATACAGAGATGGCACAGGGCTTCACTCAACCTGAAGGACAAAAGGACAAAAGGACAAGGACCTGGAGCAAACTAGGCGAAGGCTCATCTTTCCAAAAGTTTCACACACGTTATCTACAAGGGCAAACATTCCAACTTCTTGGCTGCCTAAAAAGGCCCAAGATAAAAATGCCAAGAAAGGCACCTTCGCGCACACAACACAAAAATTATATCGCCAGCCAGCATGGCTCAGCGGTTGGCTGAGCACCGACCTATGAACCAGGAGATCGTGGTTCGATTCCTGGTTGTGGCACATGCCCGGGGTGCGGTCTCGGTCCCCAGTGAGGGGCGTGCAGGAGGCAGCAACCAATTGATGTCTCTCTCTCTCTCTCACACACATCGATGCCCAGCTCCCCTGTGCCTCTGTCTTCCCATCCCTCCTTTCCACTCTCTAAAAAGAATCAACAGGAAAAAATCCTCAGGTAAGGAATTAAAAAAATTCAAAAGTCAATGGTGAAGGGAGTGGCTCAACTCTTTGGAAGAAAAATGAAAATTAAAATACTGCCACGTGTAATAAATACAAAGTAAATGGGCCACATGCCTAATTCAGAGCTCACACTGCAATCTCTCAGCCCTTCTTTCACTATACTCTCTACAAAGCTGCCAGATTTTTTTCTGATTCAATCACTTACTACTTTATTCTTTGCTATATCACTTAGAAATTTTTTTCCTTTCAGCTTTTTGATAAATCTACTAGAATCTCCCTGGCTTATTGGATTTGAACAACATACCTAGGTAACACTTATTATTAAACACCTATAACATGACCAAAGATTCTGCATAGTAGACAAACATTAATAATGCTTCTCTCACGAGGATGACTGTAATCATCCTCCTCTCACACACGAAATTCACTCCAAGAGAATAGTACAGCCTTCCCAAAGTCTAACCAACAAGACCTAAGTTAGGCCCCAGATCTTTCTGATCCCAAAGCCACTGTGTTACTACACATACAACTGAAGAACATGGAATTAAACTACTGCTAGCCAGATACTTCGAACTGTTCACCATTCCCAACTAAAAGTACTGAGTCTATTCCGAATGGTCAGAATACGGGGCTTATAAGTGTGCACTACCCAGTGACATCAGGGCCCACCTCTTCCTTCCCCATCATGCTGATGCAGTTTTAATTGAGTTTCCTCATTATCTTGACACAAGAAATAACTTTAACGTGGGAATGAAAACAAATAGCCAAGTGAAGGGTAAACAGTAATTGAATTAAGTTTTCACACTAATTTGGGGAGGAAACTTACACAAGACACAATATACCCATACTCAAAGAATCCGTACCATAGCAATTAAAACAAATTCCCATTGTTATACTATTTTTTAAAATCCTTACCCAAGGATATGCTTTTATTGATTTTTAGAGAGGGAGGGAGAAACATCAATTGGTTGTTTCCTATATGCACCCCAAAAGGGGATCCACCTTGAAACCTAGAAATGTGCCGACAGGGAACTGAACCCGCAACCTGTATGGTTTACGGGACGACGCCCAACCGAGCCACCGGCCAGGGCACTGAGAACACTATTTTAACCAATAATCTGTTAAGATTATTTTTACATAGATTGATGCTATTTGAATTTTGTTGGGTTCTGAATTTTTTAATTTAATGTACAAATATTTTGTTTTCCAGTAGTATGAGTGTTAATCAAATGAGTTGCACGAACTTATAATTTATGCCATCAGCAGGGATATATTTTTCCTTTAACAAGGTCCCCTACATTACTCACAGGAAGGACAGGCTTAAAGAAATACACTTCTAAAATAAAAACAAATGATGAAAAGTAATACTTTTAACTCTGACCAAATAAAATTTATATGGGTTAAGTTGTCCAATCAAACCCCGTTATGTTCCCTTCTCAACCCTGATGATATGCTGTATGACCTTCTTCTTCCTTATGTAATAATTTTAACTGTTTCCATATAAAAAGGACATCAAAGAAAAGTGGGGTCATTTCAGTAACAACAATTTACTAACATAATGCTTTTACAAATAAATCTGATAAAGATCATTCCTGTCTCTTGACTTACAGAGCTCCTTTAAAAAAACCCAAAAACAGTAGTTTTCAACATGATCTAACTCATTTAATGAAACCATGTCTATATGCTTGTGGCTAATATCATTGGAATTCTCTAAAAAACAACCCATTGTTAAGAACTAGTCACAAACTTACTGTGATTGCGAAAGCTATGCAAACAAATTTCTTAAAAATGAACCTTGATGCTCTCAAGCAGTATATCAAGTATGAGCAAACATCAGAAAACTTCAAGTTAAAATGGAACAGACACAAATAGAAATACGGAGTTGAAACAAGACTAAGCTTTAAGTTCATTACTAATGACCGAAGTTCTCATGATTTAGTTTTTTAAGCACAACATGTTCATTAGGCTCTGCCAGTAATATACTGCTGGCATGTTGTGTCAACATACAAATAGCCAGTAGACTCCTGAAAACAAAAAAAGCAGTCGCTAATTATGTCTCAAATTGCAAACAAACACATAATATTAACACATATCATTTTATCTCTTCTTTCTCACCCCCCAAATCACAGAACTAAATTATTTTAAAATTCTCACAGGCACAATAAAGCACCCTGAATTTTGTTTTAGTTCCACATTATTAAGGACACAGAAATAAGATTAATTTAATAAGCATTAATCCTGTGCACCAAACAACAGTGGTCCTGGTTAAGATCACGGATACAAGCTGCACAAGGTGGTTTCCAGTAAATCTAATTTAGTTCTAAGTAGAAGTAAACTTATGTGACTATATGTAGCTTAATTACTTTCCCACAAGATATTTCTTAAATTGGTATATTATCTTTAGATTCTTGCAATTTCTGATCTATAGAAAAACAGTTTCAGGGACAAACTGGTTTATTTTTAATACATATTACAATTCCATTATTAAATTTTTACTTACCTGGAAGGAAGTAGCACTAGAAAAGGCCTACTGAAGTTTTTCCTAAATTTCTCTCATGTCTTCCTCAGGAACCTAATAGCTATTTTAAATGTTGCAATGGGTAAAAAAAGCCCACGTGTGGTTCAGCAGTTGAGCATGGACCCAGGATCCAGGAGATCGAGGTTCGATTTCCGGTCAGGGCACATGCCCGGGTTTCGGGCTCAATCCTGTCAGGGGCGTGCAGGAGGCAGCCAATCAATGACTCTCATTATTGATGTTTTTCTCTCTCTCCCTTCCTCTCTCTGAAATCAATAAAGAGACATTAAAAAAGGTGGGGGAGGGGGGTAAAAAAAAAAATTTGGGAATCCAGGAGGGGGGAAGTGAGAAAGGAATAATAAAGTGCAATACGATGAACGTTTCACTGTATTCCTATGGGAAGTACTGGGATTTACCGATTAACCAAGCCACAATTCACCATTTATCACCTAATGCAGACACACTTCTCAGTTTACCTAAGACACAGTAAAGAGTAAATCTTCCTTTTAAACATCTTTTCAACTAGTGCTCAAAATCCTTATTACACCAACCCTGAAACAGTAGAACCAAAAATCTTTATATTAATACACTGTATTCTCAATATTTTCAAAGATGTATTTGCCTTTAAGTAATTTCTAAAATTATTAACCAAGGATCAACACCAGTAATATCTATAGATAGTTTTATATGACAAATGCTCACTGACATTCTTGACTTTTTATTTACTTTCGTTCTAATCAAACTCAAATCATTCCTAATTTCTTAGAGATTCTATTTAACACCATACAGGTGGTTCTATATTCTATGCAATCAGCTGTTCCCAGAAAAACTGAATAATAAGGAAACATACCTAAGAGAGGAGCTTGGGAGATTTTTTTGGTTGGGTATGTGTGTGTCTGGGCGTGTAGGCCTGGGGAGAGTGGTAGAAATACTAATTTGCAATACAGAAAAAACAATGCCATTCACATGGTTCTAACAAGTGTCTGACCACCCCCCACCCCCGCCCTCAAAAAACCCTTAAATAAATCTGGAGATCAAACAAAAACAAAATAACTCCCCAGAGTATCGCCCCATAAATGCAATAAAGAACAGCACAGGAGGTGGCAAAGTTTAAAATAATGCCTTCGTGTCAGGACTAGTGCGCTGCCACAGCCACAATCCTGGTTTTGATACATTGTTGCTTTTCAATAGAAAATACAGATGAATGTGTACAAGTTCCAGAGTGAATACATCACCTTTGAATTTGGTATCAAATAATTAAATTTATTTTGCAGGTATCAAATCTTTGTATTACAAATTTTTTCCATTATTTTAAACTTCACTTGAATCTTTAAAAAGCTAATTTATACTAAGTGCAGTTTAATCTTTTGTAAGATGCTATCAAATTAAACTCTAAGCAGTTTTAAAGAAAAGGGAGTTATTTCCAGAAAAACTGTCATTAAGCTTGAAATCAAAAAGGCAAATAATTTCAAACACAGACTAGTTCCATAGGCAAATTTACACAATTATATGTAATACTCTCTATGTGTAACCATTTTTGTAGGTAAAACTATTAAACTTATGTCACACTATGATTAGAAGCACGTATCTTTCCAGTTAAGTTTTCAACTTTGAAAAACTAAAAATTAATTTAAAACTAAGTCTTTCCTTTAGATTATTGAACTGCTTTCAAAGGAATATCCATTCATTACATTAACTTACAACCATTTTTTGAACATTCATGTGAGTACACTTAATGGCACAAACATGGGCAAATCAATTATTTCAACTCAATCTCTTCTTCTATCCCCAATATCTTGTTTTTAAAAGGTAAGTGCCACCTTTTTTGTAGCTTAGCACATCAAAACATATTTAAAAGATTTAATTCTAGCCTATTTATTTTTAAAAGCACAGAAAAGTGAAGCCTACAAACAAATCTTATTACCCATCAAAGATAGATCAAAAACTACTTACCCCATACACCTGCAGCTAAAGACTTATTCTGATTTGGTTCTCTCTCATATTCAGGATTTAAAGACGGCTGAAAGAAAATTGAAACAAAAACAATACAAAAAATGTTTAGACTGCTCACATTTTAAAAAAAGAAATCCTTTTAAAAGTAATCTCAAAATCACACTGAAAAACCTGATGACACAACAACTGAAGACTAATTTTAATCGTAACCCTAACTTTCAGCTTAGTTGCTCATCATTAAACCGGTTACTATCTATACTCGCTCCCAGTCGGACAAAACAAAGAAACTGTCTTCAAAGATCTTCCTCATCCCCAACTGCCTGAGGGGGAAGTGTCAAAAAAAACAAACAAAAAGAAACCCACAAGAGAATGTAGTCTTTGTATCAATCGGAGAAATGCCCTTTCTCAGCCTAAGATCTGAAGCAGGGAAGAGGGAAATCACAATGTCCCCTCACTGTTGTTTTCATCACTGGATGCTCTTTAACACAGTCACTCTTCAAAGCAAAGTGCAAATTCTTATTTTAACAAGTGATGCTCAGAATATTAAAAAGAAATGGAGTAGAAAACTGAACGTGTACTCTAAAGCTCATCTTAGTAGATATGTTTACCCTCTAAATTCTTAATTGTCCATTAATTATATCAGATACGCTCCATGTTACCCAGTAACACAGCCTGGCACGTCATAAAGAAGATGCTTAACGTGCTGAATAAAACGAATCCTCTACTGACATGACCAAAGAACCCACAGAGGGTGCAAACTAGAGGACTGAGAAGACTGGCGGAGGTTATCCGTGCTCTCTCAGAGCTACTCTAGGGTAAGACACTAGACTCCAGGGCTGTATGCCAGCTCTAGGACTGCAACAGCGGGTGCTCGCCTCTAGGAAGTGGGGGTGGGGTATAATAATAATAGCAGCAACTAAGTTGTGTGTGTCAGGCACTGTTTTTTAAGTGATGGATTTATATCACTCATTTAACCCTCACAACACTATCAGAGCATACTATCATCATCTCTGCTTTGTTTATATTACAAAAATTCCATCTTATGGTAACTAGCAAGTAGAAACAGTGGGCTACAGGAATGGGAAGGCATAGTGATTCCAACGTTACCTGATTATAGGACCTAAGCTAATTCTTGGTCTTCTCTTTCCTTAACCCCTCGCCTGCCCTAAATCCAATCTGTCATATTCTTTCTCTCACTTCCACCCTCTAACCAACCTACCATCACACATCTCAAACCACACATCTTCACCTGCCACAGATCCTACTCAGTCAAGCATCGTTTTCTCCTGAACCATTGCTCTCCCTGCTCTCACTATGATCCATTCCAATTCTAACTACTGGAGTCGTCTTCAAAGAAACTAAAATCAACTCACATGACCTCTCCAGAGAGGCTTCCTGCTGCATTTGTAATTAAACTAAAATTCTTTATGTCACAAGTAAAAGTCCTCCTTAGTTAGAACCTTTCCTGCCTCTTTAACTTATGCTAATGCTATACTGCCTAATGCTACTTTTTACTTGCACTGGTCTGAATTGTTTTTTATCCCTTAAACAAGACAAGCTTGCTCCCATCTGAGGGCCATCCAACTAGCTCTTCCCCTTTCTCCCAGACTCTTAACAAAACTCTCCTTAAAGTTCAGATTAAAAGACACTTCCCCAGAGAAGCCTCTCCTGCTCTGCCAAGCCAAAGTAGCCACTCAATCACTTCCTGTCTAAATTCTCTGCAAAATACTAATTATTTTTCCTTTTTATAGTACTAAAGTCCCCAACAGAATAGAAACTCAGTAACAGTAGGGACCTTGCCTGCCTCGTTCTCCTATGCATTCTGAGGCCAAGAACAGCTACCTCAGAGCCACTCAAATATATGCTGAATGAAGAATGAACATATACACAAAAATAAATCACCAGGAGTGAATCAATTTTTATAAAACTTGAGAAACATTGTGTTTAGATAAGCCAGCCACATGGTGAGATTTACCAAAAGGAAAAATTGAGAAAATTTTGTTTTTCATTAGTTCACACTTGTTTTTAGTGATGGAGTTACTATTCCTAATTGTATCTGACCCAGGCTAACAATCAGTTTGCCTTCCCTGACCACAAAGAAAATTCTGAATAGAGAAAGTAGCTCAAAGAAAGGAGAGCTGTCCTGAGATCGGCCTAAGAGTCATGCATAAATAACCAAGTGCTAAGAGAGAGAAGCTAAGTAAAATGTACTGGTAAAATATTCTTTCCAAAAATGTAAAGATAATTATGATGCACTTGCAAATAAGCCACTAAACTCAGCCGTTACTGCTGAGGGAAACGGTTTAAATTTCTCTAAGGAACAGAATGACACAAACTTACCAAGTTTTTAAGGACCACATGGTGAGCGAGACAGAGGAATGAGGAGAAGGGTGTGGAAGGGAAATTAGGAACAAAAGCCTTAAAAACTGGGCCTATCAAGGGCGACCTCAGTAGAAAGTCACCTTGTGCCACAATGGCACCTGCAAAAACCACATTTGTACTAAAATTACAAGAAACTTACAAAATCCTCGGCCTCAAACTGTTTGCGTTCTCTCTTGTCTTCTTTCCTCCCTGTTTCATTGTCAGGGATGTTGTTTTCGTGTAGTCCTTGGCTTTTTCCAGAATGGAAAATACTGCTACGAGAACGGGAACTGCCACCATGGTATCCCCCTCGATGATTTATGTTTTCAGTACCATTTCTGCCATGGGTACGCCATCCATTTTTTTCTTTCCTTCCAAAGTTACCTTTTTTGATAATGATAAAGTATTATAAATTCAAAGAGATGGTTATGCTTAAATACTGAATCACAATAAGCACACTCTTAAAAGAACATGAAAAAAGAGTCAAATTCTATCAGTCCTTAGCAAATTTTACCTCCATTGGAACGTCCAATACCACAATCAAAGCCATCTGAAGAGTTGTGTCGCCGACGATTCACATCATAACGACTCTCTGTCCATGAAAAGTTTTCAGAATGCTTCTCAAAATTCAGTGAGGACTGAAACAAATTATAAGCATGTAGGTAAATAAACATTTAAAACCTAAATGTAACTAATTCTCTCTGGCTTTATTTTCAAGAATGTTAAATGGTTAGGCAGATTTAGTAGTTATTTTCAATGTGTTTGGCAACTAGTAACTTATAAGGCGAATCCATTGTTGGTCTACTTTCTCCTACCTCATGAAAACGGGGCAGCATCCTGAAAGAGCTCAGACACTCTAGCTACTCACCCCACTTGAAAGGTAAGATGGTGTAGCGAAGACACGGCAAAATATGGTGTTTTTCTTTTATAACTAAATGGAATGCTCTGTATCATACAGTACTTGACTTAATTAGTTCAAGGTTTTCTTCAATATTAGACAATTATGGCAAATGAAGTTAGTTCCATTTTAAGTGCTCTAGATTTATTTCCAAACTCCTCTTTTCCCCAAAACAAATGTTCAAAAAAGTTATCAAAAGAATATGTGAGCCCAGCCGGGTGTGGCTCAGTGGTTGAGCATCGACCTAGGATCCAGGAGATCAGGGTTCGATTCCCGGTCAGGGCACATGCCCGAGTTGCAGGCTCAATCCCCAGTCGGGGGTGTGCAGGAGGCAGCCAATCAATAACTCTCATTATTGATGTTTCTCTCTCTCTCCATTCCTCCCTTTGAAACCAATAAAGACTTAAAAAAAAAAAAAAAAAAAAGTGTGAAAACCATTTTAAGAAATTAGAAGTGTATAAAAAAACCCAACTATTTATAAAAGCTGCTGGGTTCCCCCCCAACACTAACCCATTAATCTGATAAAATCACAACCAAAACTTGGAACTGTTTTGAATGCCCTGACCATTTCTCTGGGTTGTATTATGTAATGACCCCCCTTCAGGACAAGGAGCGGAGTTCCTCAGTTCAAATGGAAACCCACTATCTATACCCAGCTGGGCCGCTCCCTCTCACATTGCCCCATGAGACTTCTTGGTGCTGGCTCCCCTGCTACCTTAGGCCTCCTGCTGTTTGCTATGCCACGAAAGACACAGTCCTCAATTATCTCATGTCTTCTGCCAGCATCCACGTAACATTAACAGGCTTGCTAAGTCATGTATGGCAACTGAGGTTGCAACTAATGACAACACTGCCAATGTCTCTTAACCAAAGTGACATAACAGCAACCCAATCCAATTCAGGTTTAACCACAAATCCCACACTGAAGTGGTCTGTGTCCCGTTCAGGTGGCATGTTTACATATGGGAAAAAAGGGTTTTGGCCATCTACTGGCCCTATAATTACAGGTAATGACACCAAAAAATCAGGTCAGTTTATAATGCTTCGAGTGGATCTTAACAGATAAGAGTGGCCTTAGATCATATACTGGCTGGCTGGAAAACCCGTCTACTGGTCCCCCCTAAAACTTACTTACTGTTGGCTGAATCCTGGCCTCAACCTACTGCTCTGGGTTGTTGATTTATTAAGTTAATGCTATTTATTAAGATAAATTAAGTAATCCGGTTCTAGCCTCTGTTAGCGTAATCAGAGTGGCTGACAAGAGTGGTACAGTCATGTGAAAATTCAAGACTGGCCAAGAACATGTGAGGCTAATGAGCAGATTGTTGAAATAGGCAATCTACCACAAGCCCTGAGGATCCCCGAACATTCTTACTTGTGTGCCAAAAATACAAGGCCTTGACTGCTCTCTAAATGGCCTATTTCTAATGGTTATATTTGTAGCACACAACATTAAAAAACAGGTAATGTCCTTCTCTGGGACAAAGAGCAGGATTATCATAAATGTGGTAGACTCACCACTGAGTTTAAGGGTAGCATCCAGCTGGACTTCCATGTCAAACCCTAGAGGTCTTAGGGGGCATAAAGAACCACGCTTATGTTGCTTGCTGTGCCGTAATAAAGTTTTTAAATAAACAAAGTTTCACAACTTCTACCAGCATCCAAGGCCAGCTTATTAGCTTGCAAGTAGGATAAAATCTCAGACCCTCACAGACTGATATAAAGCCAGCACAGTAAAATAGGAATAAGAAATACAGTAACAGGACTGAAAAGGTAAATTAAAAACTGACAGCATATGTGAACAAATATTTATCCATATTTAAAAATCCCAAAGACATTACAGACTAAAAATTAATTAAGGTATCTGCAACAAGGTATCTGCAACAAAGACTTAATTAAAAAGCCTTTTAAAATAGTGACAAGTAGCCCAGCCGGGCGTGGCTCAGAGGTTGAGCATCGACCTAGGATCCAGGCGATCAGGGTTCGATTCCCGGTCAGGGCATATGCCCGGTTGTGGGCTTGATCGATGACTCTCTCATCATTGATGTTTCTGTCTCTCTCTCTCCCTCCCTCTCCTTTCCTCTCTCTGAAATCAATAAAGATATATTTAAAAAAAAAAAATAGTGACAAGTAGCCTTGGCCCACCAGTGTGGCTCAGGTGGCTAAGCGTCATCCTGTGTACCAACAGGTTACTGGTTTGATTCCCAGTCAGGGCAAATGCCCAAGCTGCAGGTTCGATCTGATCGAGGTGAGAGCACAAGGGAACCAATCGATGTTTCTATCTCATATCAATGTTTCTCTCTCTCTCTCTCCAACTATCTAAAATCAATTAACATATTTAAATAAGTAAAACAGCAACAAGTAATGTAAGGCACTTAAATACATCTAGCCAAATACATACAAGACTAAAAACAAAAAATGTAAGACATTAAAACTGGCATACACACACACACAAATGCTTATTTGCATATACTTCCTAAACCAGTATGAAAAGAAAGCAACCCAAAAGAAATAATAAACAAAGAATGAACAGGCAATTCACAGAAACATAGCCCAATGTCCAAGAACAGTGAAATGCTTTTTGTAACAAAGATTGCCACAAATGTTAACTCTGATAATCTGACAAAATTTTGGGAAAAGTGTAAAGTAAACAGTTGGGGCAGCGTAAAGGAGCATAGCTCAGTATACCACAGGGAAGAGGTTTTGGTAATATCTAATCAAGTCCAGGCAATTTTTCTTTTAACTATACGTTAGAGCCTTGCTATTTCAAGCTTGGTCCACAGACAAGCAAAATCAACATCACTCTGAAGAGTGTTACAACTAGGACCCTGTCCTGAGATCGACTGTAATCAGAACCTGCATTTTAACAAAATCCCCGGGGTTATCAATTATACATTAAAACTTAAGGAGCATTGGCCTAGAAAATTCTTACCCATGTATAAAGAGACATTACAAGAATATTCAATGCAGTGCTCTCTATAGTAGCCAAAAGTTATAAACAACCTGAACTTAAATGGAAAAATGAAATGTGGTATAGCAGCACAAAGTAAAATACTATACAGAGTGTTATACAATTACACTAAATCTGCAGATATCAACATGGAAAAAACTCAAAGGTAGAATTAATGCAAAAGCAAGATGCAGACATATAAATGATAAGTCATTTATATAAATTTCTGAAACATGCAAAACATGCTATTTATTGACATTCACATACGTAATAGGAATTAAGAACATGCACTGCGATAACCTCTGGGAGAAAAATGAAGACAAAAAGGGATTATAAAGAAGTAAACAGTGGACTTCAACTGTACACATCATGTTTTATTTCCAAGAGATCAAGCTAGTAAGACAAAAAAATTAAGATATGGCAACTGTGGGTGGTAAGTGTTCATTCAATTCTTTCTACACTTCTCTGTACATTTAAATATTTCACTAAAACCTACATTTCTTAAGAATTACCAAGACAAACAAGCTGTATAAAAACATATGCAATATTTACGGCAAACAAATACATCAGTATGGAAAGAGCGATTACAAATCACTAAGAAATAGCCAATATAAACAAGCAGTCTTAGAAACTGTTCCCAACACAAAATTATGCTCAATAAAGTACCATTTTTCATCCAATTTCACAAAGATTAAAAAATGTGAAAACATCCAGTATTGCCAAACAGGGAAGGGGAGGGGAGATACACCTTTATAATATTTTGATGGGATTATAAATTGGTGCAGCTTTTTCAGAAAGTACTACCAAATGTAAAAACCTTCTGATTCAGTGGAATTTACCGTACAAGTATATTACTGCAGCTTAGTCCATTAATAAGTGCTAATTAAACAATCCATGCAGATCGACTCAATAAAAGATTATATAGCCACTGAAAAAAGTTACGTGCCCACGTACTGACTATAGAAAGGTATTAAAGATGCCATCCTTGAAGGGAAAAAAAAGTAATTTCATTTCTTTACTCAAACTAGGATACATAAAATACGCTCTGGTGTGTGCATAAAAGCACCCTGACATTTCACTTCTGAAAATTAGTCTACTACCTAATAATCAAGAAAAGAAAGTTATTTTAAAGTCAGGCACACATGGATTACTACCCCAACTCGAGAACTTTGGAGCAGGTTCCTAGTCTCTCTGAACCTCAGTTCCCTCATCTGTAAACGAGGAGGAAAAACAGAGTCTACCTCATACGACTCTGTCACAGTGTTGTACAAGACTACAAGAAACACCAGGTGTTGCAATGCAGGTATTACGAGGAAGAGACCGTCTCTACCCCTTTCCTTCTTACACATTTAAATTTTTTCTGGGTTCATTAAAATACCTGAAACAGTAACAAAAAATCCTACACAGTAAACAGGAAGTGGCTACCAGTCTGACCAAATTCGTCATCCTCTGTTGGCCTAAAATTTAAACAGCACCTATGTTCCATGCAGTCTGACACCGCTTACACTACTGAAATGTACAATAGTGATCACTGTTTTTTAAATGTTACCATGAGAGAATCAATAAAGCACTACTGCTACACTCTAGCCATAGAAATAACTACAGGATAATAAATACAAATATGAAAATGTATTGAGTGTGGCAGAATAACATGTTTTTTATTGGTTTTTTTTTGGTTTAAAAAGAGAGAAAAAAATTTCCCTACTTTCTGTTTCTCTTCCTACCAGCCACGTACTGGCACTTTCCTTTTTCAAACAATTGCGACAATGAAAGGTTTCCTCAGCTGAATGACAGGAATCGTTCTACTATCCTTCCTAAGGTAAGACAATGGGAAGGAAAGTAGCTATAACAAGACTTATCTAAAAAGATACCTAACTTTTTGAGGATCTACAACCATTTCATTTTAGTATTCCTTCAATAATAAAAATGTTACTTTTCAAACTGCAGGTCAGGATCTAGGAAAGGGTGATGAAATGGGTTCCGATTTGCATTTTTTAATGGAATAAAAAAGAAAAGACCGCAAGAAAAGGTATTAGTGCCCCACAGGTGTATGACTTTTTGGTTGCATCTAGGTGAATACAAAAACATTTAAGTGAAACTTAGGTCTTACTGGGTCCCAATAAGCACTTCAAAAGGCAATGCCCTGTGCCAGGTATTATCAATGCAATTTAAAATTCCACCACATGATGGGGCTAACATTCCACACACCTCAGAAAACTACTGAAGTTCAGTTCTGAAAATATTTTTACCCTTGAATTCAAGTCCTCATATCATCCCTTCAAACAAATAAATGAAAAGACTCCCATTAAGTTGAATCGGAGAAACCAACAGTAATTATTTGTTCCAGTTATTCAGCATAAGATTTAACAGGGCTCCAGCAGGACACAGCAGGTTAATTAGAGAATCTATAAATGGTGATTTTGAGATGAAAGGATAAGACAGAAGGTTATAAGAAGTCACATAAAAGTCATTACTAGAAGGTGTGTATTTTGTTTATCAAAACTACTTTGGGTAAAGTCTAAAGAAATAGTTCCAAATACTGCTAGTTAAGAGTTCGAATTTATACCATTTTCTGGAGGCAATTTAGAATGAGAATTTAGTACAAGCTAGCTATCCCAATTCTCAAAGTCATCACCATCAATTATGAGGGCTACATCCAGATCAAGAGTCAGGTTCCAGAGTGCAGGAAGGCTTTCACCATTCATAAAAGTCAGTCTCTGTAACCCTGGGTTAACATCTGAATGAAGAATTATTCTCAAACTTTTTCATGTTTTGCAACTCACGTTCCAGGTGCTGATAATTTTTATTGATCTGCTTAAAAATAAAAACAATTCTTATAATGAAGAGAAAAGGGAAATAAGAGGGAAACAGGAAATTAATATGTATCCAATTGCTGAAGTAAGCCTGGAAAAAAATGAACCCACTAAAAGGATAGATGAGCAGTGAGGGGAAAAAACTAAAAAGCAAACAGACACGTAAGACAAAAGGGAGTAAACAGAGCATCTGTAACTAAGACGTGGTCTCAGTGGCCAATCAGCAGAAATCTCCATCCTCTAACGAGCTCAAATCCCATTACACAGCATCTGAAATGGAATATTTAACCATTTACAGAATGCCAAAACTGAGTCCTATGGAAAGAGTACTGAATAGGAAAGGCATCCTGACTTCTAATCCAGACTCACGCTAAATTACATGACAACAGGCAAGTCAACTAACCATCCAGATAATCAATCTGTATTAAAAAAGTCCCTTTATCTGACGACTGAGCTTCGTCTTCAAACATCACAATACTAGAGTCTAGGAATTGTCACTCCAATGCAGCTTTTCTAATATATTACAGGCCAACTTCACAACTTTATTATGATCTAACAAGTCCTCATGAGGGAACAACTTTCCAAATTATAAAATTGTTCCCAAAAGAGCTGTTTTTAATAGTTTTATAAAACTGCCTGTATCTGATAGAGTTTTATTAATAGGCAGATGACCAAAACCCTCTTGATTCTTTGCATTAAGGAAAAAAGAAGTGGAAAACAGCTATTAAGCCAAGCAGATTGACTCTGACAATTCCAAGGTCCCTCATGCAAACCAGGCTGGTTGGGTGTCTCAGTAAAAGAGCACAACTCTTACATTACTGAGTCCTGATCTTTAACAATGTTGCAAAGTCCTCAACACTCCTGAAATTTTAGTAATGTACCATTCAAAGTCTCACTGGTTCTATAAAAAGGAAGTTCTTCCGGTTAAAGGGAAAGACTTCAAAAACCTCCATTAAAAAACAACAACACTATCTATAGGAAAGTAAGGCAATTTATCAGAAAAATAATATAGAAAAAAGTAGGATGCAAAAGTTATGTTCAATGTATCTAACTGGCTTGAAATAGTGTGTGAAACTTTGATTAGTACAAAAGACAACTTTGAAGTAAATGGTTTCATGTATTGATGGCACACTGAAAACTGACTTTTTACATAAAAACCAATAGATTAAATATAAGCTAACTTAGATGTTAATGCAAAAAGTATTTCTCTGCAAAAATATTAAGCTTTTACATTTTAACTACACTTGTGCAGAATGTGAACGAAAGAGGCAGACAGAAAGAGAGGAGAAAGATGCAGGAAAGAGTACCTTTGTTGATGATGGTGGAGTGGGAAAATTAAGCCAGGCTGGAGCAAAGTCATGCTGCGCCATTTAGGTCCAGTCTCTCCGACTCAATGAAACAAGGCTTCAACACCTCATGGCAAGTCCCTGTCATATAAAAATGGAAGGAATTAGACCTGCAGCTCCTAGCCAAAATTATCTTCTTTTCTGTATTATTTTAAATTAAAATCGTCTTACTATTTTAAGATTCCACTTATAATGAAATTCTAGAAAAGGCAAGTGATAGAAACTAGACCAGTGGAGTGGGTGGAGGGCCTGTGGGATGGGAGTGACTGCAAAGGGAAGGAGGGAATTTCCACGGTAATGGGGGTATTATCTAGGGTTGTGGTGATGGTTATATAAATGTACACATTTGTCAGAACCCATCAAATTGTACGCTTAAAATTGACTACTTTTATTGTAAAAGCATTGTCTCACTAACATTTTTTAAAATGATGATAGCCTTACCACAAACAGACTAGACATCCAGTGTCTCCTGATGTCATACAAGAGGAAAAACAGAGAACCATCTACGATGTATTCTTGCCCCACCCCGATATGGAACGTGAAATCTAATCTACCTACCCATTTGCAGGAAATTCAACTTAGAGAAACCAAGTTAAAGGACATCTGAGGGAAGTAATCCAATAAATCCAGATCACAGGATATTCTACAGGTCAAATTATCTGGTTTCTCCAACAAATAAAAGGTTTTGAATAGGCAGATCGATCAAATACAATGTGTGAGCCTTATATATAGATCCTTACTCCAACCAACCCTTAAAAACTGAAAATTATGAAATAATCAAAAACGTGAACATGAACTGAATATTAAATGCCACTTTTAAAGGTATTAATCATTTTGGATGTCATAATGGTTAGTGTGATGATGGTATATTAAAAGGGATATATACTGAAGTCTTTACAATTAAAATTGATACAAATGGAATTTGCTTTAAAATAAACCAAGGAATGCTGAATAGGTTTCTATCTGAAACAAGGTTGTCCACATGTTTATAAATGTTGGTACAAGGACCTGTATAAAGACTCTTCTCTCTACTTACATTAACAGTTGAAAATTTCTTAAAGGTTTTTTTTACAATAATCACGATAGGTATCCTAAATATTTTAGCAACTACTACTCTTCTGCATTCTAAATTTAAGTTTTTGGAGGCCTCTCTCAATTGCATCATAGAATTTTCAAGTTGCCAGCCCAATCTAAACATAGTAAATTCAGTTTCTTTTTAAATAAGGCCAAGTGGGCAACTTTACTCATTTCATTATAAAGCTTACACTATTAGTCAATGAAGAAATGACATTTTATGAACATCAAAATGTCTTGTTTAATAAAAACAAATAATCTCAACAGTGAAAATTTCTTCTTTCAAATATAAGTGCTATACCCATAATTTTTTAAAGCCATATCAATTTCCTAAGAATGCTTTTTAAAAGATTCAAGATATTACAGAAATATTCTACATCTACTATCCCACAATGTACTGGTCTATTAAAATACAGGATAAGAGTGGCCAGATACAAGAAAGAGATACAACTAATTAACTCACTATGGTAATAAAAATGTTTAAATGCTAAATGCTTATGAGAGCTGGGGATAAACAGTGATACATTCGGAAAACCTGACAATTCCATGAAAACACTTATGAAACAAATGTAAGACTTTTAAGAGCATGCCTACCTAATCAAAATGAACTATAAAAATTCAGGCATTCTAATTCTACTACATCTTAGGTTACTTTTTGAGGTCTTCTGAAATAAAAATGAAACCTAAAGAGTTTTAGGATGTATGAAGGATTTTTATTACCTATTTTGACATGAAGCTAAATACTAAGCTGCTTTGTGATGTTTGTGGTGGAATGTTACTTTTTCAATAACTTTTTGTTGAAACTCTTAAGCTTATAGTTCTAATAACTCAATAGGAATGACACATTATTTTTATAACTTGTACCAGATTCACAGGAAACTCCATAGAACTTAAATTAACCAATAATTTAAAGCTTATCATTTCAAACAGGGTCTCATCCAAAATTATGGTTGAGGAGTTGTATATGAAAACTATCCCTAAGAGACAACCATTAACATTACCTATTCATTTCCGCAATGTCTTTACAAATTTTTACTTAAATCTAGTTCTTAGAGAATAAAGTATGAATAGTTAATGGCAGAAGTTCACATGTTCTGAAAAAGGTAAAGAGCAAATACTATTAATATTATGGCATTTACACAACAAATGTTGACGAAACCATGATGTGCTACCCCACCTCTCCTCCTAGCACAAGTCAAGTCTTTAAGACCCAGTGTGGGCCCTGGTCTCAGCTCCAGTGTAAAGCTGAGTAGGCCTTATTCTGACAGAAGTATGTCTGTCTGTGTAAACCTGTCTGGGGGCTCAGGGGGGAATGACAAGAGGCACTTGCCTTTGCTTTGCCTAACACAGAAAGAAAAGCTACTATGCAGAGGGCATTCACCAAAATCCTGCAAGGCATGCACAAACCCCTGCCTGGCACAAAGGTTTACAAATGATTAAACAATCAGCACACCCAAAGCCTGAAAGGAAAGGCTAAGAGAGAATTTCTTTGGGAAATTATTCCATTGTCAAGAATTCCCATATACCAGGGACCTTAGAAAAACCACATAAATAGGACAAGATGCACACACAGGGGGGAAAACTGAAAACCCCAAGTTTTCACCTCTGGCTGATCTTTTAGGTTCAGCAAAAGCAGGAAGTGAAGGCTAAGACAGAGTTATAAAGGATGTGGCTAACCATTAAAGAAATGCCTTGCCCAGCCAACGCAGCTCAGCAGTTGAGCATCGACCTATGATCCAGGAGATCTAGGCTCGATTCCCAATCAGGGCACATGCCCGGGTTGTGGGCTGGATTCCCAGCAGAGGGCGTGCAGGAGGCAGTCGATCAATGGCTCTCTCATCATTGATGTTTCTCTCTTTCTCCCTCTCCCTTCCTCTCTCTGAAATCAATAAAAACATATTTTTTTAAAAAGAAAGAAAAAAATGCCCCAACAAAGACCCAATAGGCAAAGGCTGGGAGAGTTACTTTTTCTTTCACTTCTTTTATTCCTTTTTGGCTCCAAAAATGCATCTGCAATAGAACATGAACTGAAAGCAGTAAAGATGGCTCTTAGTCAAAGAACTGAGAACAGCAGTTCCATGGACAGCTGAAACACAACCGCTACTGCTTCCCACTGGAATCACTTTCTGTAACCACTGCAACCTGAGGGAATAGGGGAGATAAATGACGATGGAAGGAGACCTGACTTGGGGTGGTGAACACAAAAGATAACATACAGATGAAGTATTTAGAACTGTACACCTGAAACCTGTAATTATATTAGCCAATGTCACGTCACCCAAATAAATTCAGTGAAATGTAAAAAAATTAAAAAGGCTGCAACCTGTCTCAGCTGTGGGGATTTTCAAACTTTACACAATATACTGATCCTGATGTATTTAATTTTTGTTCATCACGAATTTCTTGTATTAATTTCTTTAAATTTTTTCGTTAAAATACAATTTTTCTTAAAAAAACAAAGCAGCTCTGGCCAGTGTGGCTCAGCTGGCTGAACATTTTCCTATGTACCAAGAGGTCGCTGGTTGAATTCCCAGTCAGGGCACATGCCAGGGTTTAGGGTTCTATCCCCAGTAGGGGATGGGTAGGAGGCAGTCGATCGATGTTTCTCTGTCATAGATGTTTCTCTCTTCCCCTCGCACAAATCAACAAAAACATATTTTTTAAAACAAACCAAAAAAAAACACTAGGTGACCACAAGCTATGGGTCAGAGACTACCCAAGCCAAAGAATACAGACTTTGCCTTGGCCCATTTGTTGGACTGTCCTCCCATGCACCGAAAGGTGACAGGTTTGATTCCTGGTCAACGCACATACCCAGGTTTCAGGTTTGTCCCATCAGCGTGCATGAGGAAGGCAACAATCAATGCTTCTCTCTCACATCAGTTTCCCTCTCTCTCTCTCTCTCTCTCTATATATATATACCCTACTTTCTCTAAAATAAAAAAAAATTTGTTTTTAACTTTACAGAAATAGTTTATAAAAGTATCTGAATGAACACATAACTACAACCCATAGCAAGGATGGGGGGGATACTCAATTCCCAGAGTCTACAAATTATGATATTCACAATGTTCAGTTTTCTACAAAAAAAATAACAATAAAACATGCAAACAAATAAGAAAGCATGGCCGATTCACAGGAGAAAGAATTAGCAGACACTATTCCCTGATGAAGCACAGGCCTCAATTGTCTGAAATACAAAGAGCTGAAGGAAACGAGGAAAACGTCTCAACAAAGAGAACATCAATAAAGACACAACAGTTATAGAAAAGAGCCAAAGAAAGATTCTGGAGTCAAATAAAACAATAACTGAAATTAAAATTTCACTGAACAGTTTCAATAGCAGATTTGAGCCAGAAGAAGAATCAGAAAACTTGAAGAAAGGTCACTTAAAATCGTAAGTCTAAGGTGCAAGAAGTAAACAAAAAATCCAAGGGAACTGAGAAGACCTCTGGGACAGCAGGCACATAATACAAGTTCCAGAAGGAGAAAAAGGCAGAGAGAGTTATCTAAGAAAATAAGGGCTAACCACTTATCAAATTAGATAAACAGCTTACCAAACCCCAAGAACAATAAACACAAAAAGATTAGCCTCTGACTGCCATCCTATGTCCTCAAGTGTGTGTGCTTACTGCCTGGCCCAGTTTCCTCTCCAACAAGACAAACTACCATGAACCAAACTGCAAGCACAGGTGCACGCTGGTACGAAAGAAACTGCCCACAGAAAGGAGGAGGTTCACAACTGCCATAGCAGGTAATGAAAAACTGCGGTCCTCCTTACAGAAGTCAGGGGAAAATAATACCCCTGGTACTGAAGAAGTGAATATATTCACAGACTAAGGAACAGGGATCCACTTTAACAAACATAAAGTCCGGGCATCTCTGGCAACCAGCACTTTCACCATCACTGCCATGACAACACACAGCAGCTGACGGAAATGCTACCGAGCATCTTAAAACCAGCTTGGGGCAGACAGTCTGACTAGTTTAAAGAGAATGACATGATC